AGAATAACAGCCTTTACTAGTAAAGATAAAAATTGGCAACAAATTCATATCATCTCATTTTTGAGAGTGACACACTGACACTGACAAGCAAAAAAAGAATGACCAGAAGTGGTCAGGTGGTTATGGTTACGCTTAAAATGTTAAGGATGACTTAATTATGATTCTTTTTTTAATAAATAATTAATTATAATATTTAAAAATATTAATTTATAAATTAATTTTATTAATTGAATAATAAATATTATTAATTTTATTAATTAATATAAAATCAATTGAAAACTTGATTTTATATAAAATTTATATAAAACTTGAAGAGCTTATAGTAATTGAAAATTTTTTTGTATATATAATTCTTATTGGGTGATTTTATTTGATCAAAAAATATTTTTAGTTGTAATCTATATATTTCCTCCATTTAAATTTAATAGACATAATTAATATGAGTATTTAATTTGAAACATTTATATTTAGTTGTCTACTTTTTCTTTTTAAGATGTCATTTAATATGTTTATTTATATTTTATCCTTATTTTAAAAAGATAATTGTAACATATATTCTCTTTGTTCAACTTTAGCAACTTAGTTTTCTATTTAGGAAATCCAAATTTAGTTGTTCATTTTTCTTTTTTTATATGTCATTTAATGTATTTATTTTTATTTTATCCTCATTTTAAAAGATAATTATAACACAAATTAAATAAGAAATTTTATTTAAATGGTATACTTAATTAGGGATAAATATGAAATTTTATCAGTAAGTTATTAAATCTCTATTTTATTAGACAAAAGAAAAACCGAGAGAGTATTAAATAATAATGCTTATTTAAGTAGTGATTAATAACCCCAATGGGGTGATTGAAAGGTTAAGAGTTTGGAACTCTAAGTTGGATATTTTTTTTTTTGGTTTTTCGCCCGGTATTCGGGGCTTCGCCCCAATTAATCCGGACTCGACCCGCGTCGCGCACCTGGAAATGGTGGGTGAGTCTCCCAGCGAGAGCTGCTGCATACACAAGGTCTCGAACTCGAGACATTATTTAAGTTAGAACAAGTCGTTTACCACTTGATCCAACCCCTCGTTGGTCTAAGTTGGATATTTGAGTATAAGAAAAAGTTATCCCCTCTTGCATAACTCATAATTAGATGTATTAAAAAAGAGTGATTAATTAGGAAAAATAAGAAATATTATTAATTAATTATTATATTATTTTATACGACAAAAAAATAGGTCTATTAAAATTGAATAAAGTGAATAATATGTTAAATTTTTATTTAAATTTTACATCTAAAAAGTCAAAAAGTAAACCTAAAATAACTAAAGTTAAAATAAGGTAGTATATAATTTTAAACTACTACTCCCTCCTGTCTAAAATACAATAACTAATAGATTTTTTTAATTATTTTACAAATTAAAAATTTTTAAATAATTTATGTAGTTATTTACCTCTCTATTAAAAATGAAGATAAAGATAAATAAAAAAATTTTGATGATAGGTAGAATAATTAAAATTAAGGGATAACTCTATAGTTAAATTAAGAAGAAAGTATTTATCTCTTCTAAAAGGCTAAGATTGAAAAATAACAATTAATTTAAATAAATTTTGAGTAAAAAATTAAAATAGAGGTAAATGCACAAAACTT